AGGCCGCAAGGCGGCCGGAGGGGTCTACCGGCCAGATGCCAATGGCTTGGTCAAACCATTTGGGATGAGTCTGGCGTTTCTGAGTCTGCTCTTCGCCGTGCTGGCATCCGGGTGCCAACTGTCTGATTTGCCAGGTAAAGAACGGGGGTTGACCTCCTGGGTCTATGGTGCGAAATTTCCCATCATCAAGTGATGCTCCACGGCTAACCGTCTTCTAGTTTCCTGCGCATATCAGTGTTTGCGAATGTTGAACTATGTGTCGCAACCCACGGTTGAAGTGATCCAAATTCTGTTGATCATAAGTCACGTCTTGTCCTATAACATGAACGCGGGCGCGTCATACACGTTGCTAGGTGAGCGATTTTCTTTCTTGGCAGCTTCCCTGACACCAAACTCAACGGCATGCTTGCAGGAATGACGGAACGCATGTGTATGGTCCTCGGTCTTCACGTAGAATCATCGGGCTTTGCGCGAGACGTCCAAGCGGCTCGCAGGAGGGCGTGGTAGGTGTCATCCCGATTGCCCTTTAACCAGGAGTGGCACCATTCTCATGATGCTCAACAGGTGGGCAATGGCTTTTCAAAACAGTCATTTCTCCTTGGCATACGATCGACCCTCAATCACGATGGTTAGTCAGCCGGAAATCCCCTACGACCCCAAATCGATGCCCGGTCATCGATCGTATTTTGAGACGCTTTGCCGCATAGTTTCTGTGGTTCTGGAAATGCTGCGCATGCGAATGTATCCACATCATTCTCAACTGCGATATCACGAAATTAGAGAGTATAAGCAGCGATTCGGACGAATCATTGCCGAAGGCGTTCCGCATTTGCGCTCTCCCGACCATTGCGCCACTTTGGCGGATCATATCGAGCGGACAGAGTTACGTCTGCACTCGTCGTACTTTCTCTCCGTTCTCTGTCGCGTTTCGTTAGACCCGGATACACATATGGACGATGAGCGGCGGGCGATAATCCGCGAGGACTGCCTGACGAATCTGATGAACACAATCGATGCATTTGTCGAGCTGCATTCGTTCAACCCCTACTGTTCCCGGACTTGGATCAGCCTGCAGCGCGCAATCGCGTCTGCCTTCCTGCTGGTTGCAAATCTCGAGGACCGATATCGCGCTCGAACATATGACCTCATTCGGAGGCTTGAACTTGTCCTGGCAGATCATGTCTACGCTGATGGACAGGCAAGTCAGAATAACCAGACTGAGTCCGCGAAACATCTTGCCTCGTCGCTCCGTGCCCTCCGGCAAGTCAGCGCTGCATTGCGTGCGAAGGAACCCGAGGGAATGGGATCGGGCTCCGAGACCACCAACACGGTTTCCAGCATCACCACCCCAATGCTGATCCCTGCGTCCTCACCATCAGTCACCCTCGGCACCACAGCAGCTCAGTTCTCCGGGCACGTTCCTGCGCCGCAGGGGAAGAGCATGCGTACCATCCTCGACAGCGTGTCCGACGTGATGTTATTCCCCAGTATGGGCATGGCAAATTTATGACACGCCTTAGAAAGTCATTTCGCATATATAGCCCGGCATTTGACACACATACCGATCTTTGAGATTATTATACGTGGTAGGCGAATGCTATCAATCCCATATATACCCGTTCAGATGATCGGGAACCATTTTTACAAGGCCTGCTTTGAGTGGATGATCTCTTCCGATGCTTTTGGCATTTTGTTGATCAAACTGTCGCTTGTGCAATAGTGTCTCACTTCCGAAGCAATCCCATCTGAGAGAACACGAGCGGAGGGGGGAGTCACCCTGAGTGCTCATGGTAGACTGAGTAAGTGAGCACCCCATGTAGGTAATAAGGTGGGCAAGAGCCGTATTTGTAGTAGTCAACGAGGCGGAGCCACCGATCCCTCAGGGCACTGCGACCATGCACCCCTGGATCGTCCTCGATGAGGCTTATCCTCGGAGATCGCCATGAGAACTGGTGGTTGACGGATGGGGGTTTGTGCTTGAAGCCGACCGAGGTATTCCCGCTTCGGCCGACAACGGATCTGGTGATTGTCTGAGTAGTAGGTGAAAGGTGAAAGTATCCTGAATTCCTGATGATTCGTCCCTTTCACTTTCCCATTGTGGTTTACCTTGTCCCATTCAAGTCAGAGGACCTGTCCATCGGCATCAGCCCTACCTACATTATCCCTTTCGAGACTGGACATTTCTCCAAATTCTGGAACATGTCAAGATGATACTGTCCATTTACCAACCTAAGTTATTCACCTAGAAGGTATATCCAGTGTACGGAGTATGTCTACTACGTCCGTCCTTAACCGCATACTATGATACAATACCCACTACCGATGTATGGTCATAAACACGGGGAGGTCGGCTCTTACAGAGAGCTACTTCTGACAAGGCCGCATCTTATGATGTTCATATCTCATTTCCGAAGCCACACTGCAGTCATCCAGCCAATCGTCAATCGGAACTAAGCAACTGCTTCCTCCGAGCGGAACCCCCGGTCCATCCGAGAATAGATTACGGAGGACTCCTGGATAGTCTCCCTGGGGTAGACAGGCTAGACCCAAGGAACAGACAACCGTCACAACAGAAGGTTACTACTATTAGATCATTTCCTTTGTCTAATGGCAGATCAAGACCGCGGAGAGGTAAAGTTATTTATATGCCATATTATTGACTCCGACCGTGGCTCATTGACAGTTTGACTAAACAGTTACACGATCTGGCCTACTCAAGTGGGCTGAGGAGACAGGTACTCAAGTATGCGGGGTTTATCATTATTGTCCACTGTCCAGTACGGAGTAGTGACCTGTGACTACCATTGCACGATCGTCAAATAGCGATTCGAGTTCGAACGGATTCCATCTCTTTGTTGGCTATTGTTGTTACATCCCTGATTTCGGCTCCGAGGCAGGATGCTGGTGGGAAGTGAGGACTGTCAATCTGACACAAATCGGACATGGATGTTGCATAATATGTCTACTGCTCGGGATTTGTCTAACCAGCGCGCGGGATGAATTCTTGATCGAAGCTCTCGGATCCGAGATACGAATGTCGGTGCCTGACTAACGTATCAGTACCTCCCCACACACCACAAGCATGACTCTGTGCCTTGCTAGGTATTCTCCTGTCGCGATGACTGATCAGGTCATCTTTGCATACGGATCAACTCAACCCCCATGTCTGAACCATTACAGCAGGTCGCGTCCGCTCCTGGTAAGATGGAGGATCGTACCATCAAGCGCCGGGTCGCAATCCCGAATTCAACCGGACACAGCGATTTTTCGTAGCCATTCATAAAAATGGGACCGACTCACTCGGGTGGTGAGCGAGAGATAATGGCCGCAGTACAATTGAGCCAACAGAAGTTAATAAGAGGTTTCTAGTGTTGCGACCATGGAGCCGCGAAAACCCCTGTGCGCAGTGTCAGCGAGGAAAAGCCGCGCACTTCGCATGTGAAGCTACACAATATGTCCTCTCGGATCTCCTCATTATCTGACAGTGAGGGACAGCTGAAGTTCTCCCGGACTACAGAGTTCATATATTCGTCAATCGTCTGACGCCGTACGGCTAGTTGTCTTGGTCAAGCTACCATATCGGATGGTGCGATGAGTCCAAGTTGCGCAGTAAGGCTGGATGAATCGTGCACTTGCGGGCTGTACTGCTGTTCTTGCGATTCTCTGGTCTCGGATTCCAGAGACATATCCATTATACTCGAAGTTGTGCCTTCAGGGCCAGGACTGTGCCAATTCGGACCCTGGATCTAGCTGGTTGGTCTTGAAGCAGTAGTGGCTCCGTCAGTTCGTCTCATTGACGCAATTATGGGCTGATACTGGGCCTGGGCCCCATCGTTCTTGGGATGCTCTTGGTAGGAGTGCCCCAGGAAGTGGACCAGTGAGCAAACATTATGTGATGAGAGACTGCACCTAGGGACATACTAAGAAATGGGTTGTAGACCGATGGTTCATTCAACCTCGATTGTGGCCACGTTGGCCGTGTTTGGTTCGATCCAGCATCAGATGGTGTTTCCATCAGTCCAGGTTGGATCGCTGGAGGAGACTGTTCAGTCCATCAACTGGGACATAAAAAGGCTACTAAGCGTTCAAATGATGATTGAGAAGCCATTCTTCGATAATGGTTCTCAGAAGCCGACTAAGCAGTGATTTATGATGCTTCGTCCAAAAGTAAACAAACCTCATCGAAAACTTGCGTGGAGAGACTTGCGAAGATTGAGCAGCACGATGACGACTCTGATTGTTATCTTCAAGTGAATGAAACTGAGCATCAGATTCATCTTGACATTTCATTATCGAGAATCTTCCGGGTCATCATCGGGGAGTTGACGGGAGAAGTGAGCTGAAGGACTACCATTTTCCCAAATAGGCAAATCCTGTAGTTTAGTTGACCGCGCAGAGTTGACGATCACTTTGGGTCTTTCACTCCAGGGACTTCTATCGGACAGACTGTTTGAGCTTACGGTGACTATTCCCCCCGCCTTTTTTTCGCTTTTATTTCTCCCTTCAAATTTAGTGATTGGGATGGTAGTATTACATTGTTGCATCTCATCTCCTGGATGCTTTCTTCGATGCTACCAGCCGATTCATCCCTTACTTCCTCCAATCTCAAAGTCCAGAATCGTATCAACCATCCACTTCTGGAAATTCCCCTTCCCGTTCAACTACCAGCCTATCTTAGCAATCTGATCGCACGTTCGACTTCATGGACAGAATGCTAGACTTAGACCTCGCACGTCGCAGCCTGCTGGGAAAACCCCACGAGCCTAAGCAAGTGATCGGCGTCTTCAGGCTCAGGCGCGGCTGATGTTGATGCATTTGTACTCTTGAAGCGAGGGATTATTTCCCGTGCTGGAGCGCATCGATCCGCGTTTCAGATTTTGGGGTCGGAGATTAAGATAAATAGAGTCCTTCATCAATCTTTCTTGACAGCGTTGCGGATCAATAAGTCTCTTTTACGTCGCTCTTGAGGTGAAAGGCAGTCGCCCGTTGCTACAATTAAAATGATTAGGAGGCTCGCAGCTCTCAGCGCTCTATCGGGCCTGGCAACTGCCTGGCTGCCTGAGGTCAACAAGAAGATCACCGCAACAAACGGTACGAACCTATTCTCAAGTTCGAACGGCAAGATCCGAGGCGTGAACCTGGGCTCTCAATTCGTCTTTGAGCCATGGATCGCAGAAAAGGCGTGGTCAGACATGGGCTGCGGCGGCCAGAAATCCGAGTTCGACTGCGTCTCGAGCCTGGGCCAGGTCCAAGCGAACAGTGCCTTCGCGAGCCACTGGAGCTCCTGGATCACGCAGGATGACATCGCCGAGATGGTGAGCTATGGGCTGAATACCATCCGAGTCCCTGTTGGGTACTGGATGCGCGAGGACCTGGTCTACTCGGATAGTGAGCATTTCCCTCAGGGCGGGTTGCAGTATCTGGAGAATCTGTGCGGGTGGGCTAGTGATGCAGGCTTGTATATTATCATTGATCTGCACGGTGCTCCAGGGGCTCAGACACCTCAGAATCCGTTTACGGGCCAGTATGCGCCCACCGCTGGATTTTACCAGGATTACCAGTTCGAGAGGGCGCTGAAGTTCCTCGAGTGGATGGCCACCAACATCCACCAGAATGACAAGTTCCGCAATGTCGGAATGCTCGAGGTTGTCAATGAGCCTATCCAGAATGCTGACAAAGTTGGCTCAATGCGGACAAGCTATTATCCCAGCGCTTTCAAGGTGGGTAGCTCTTCCTCTAAGCACGGAGACAATGCTCACGCCTTGACCGCAGAGAATCCGCGCTGCAGAACAAAGCCTCAACATCGACAAGAACAACTACCTGCACATCCAGATGATGGACAAACTCTGGGGCTCGGGTGATCCCACAGAGTCTCTGACTGACACCTACTACGCCGCATACGACGACCACCGCTATCTTAAGTGGGCCAGCGTCGACGTCTCCAAGGACAGCTACATCAGGACCTCCTGCAGCGACGAGCTGGACAGTAACACGCCGACCGTCGTGGGAGAATGGAGTCTGAGCGTTCCTGATGACGTGCAGTGGAACTCCGACTGGTCGCCTGACTCTAACCAGGACTTCTACAAGAAGTGGTTTGCCGCCCAGGTCACGGCATATGAGAAGCAGCAGGGCTGGGTTTTCTGGACGTGGAAGGCTCAATTAGGAGATTATCGTTGGTCATACCAAGGTGGGCTATCCCTTGCCGATGATATGTGGTCAACAGGTGCTGACCCTTTAGATGCTGTTGCGGCTGGCATTATTCCCACTGATCTTAAGTCTCTGGCTGACCTGAAGGTGTGCGGTTGAATATGCAAATGGCGGATCGACGAATCGACAGCAAGTCTTGAATGTATAGAACCTAGTGTTGCTTCCCCTATATTTTTCCATATAGTGTGCCTCTGAGTGGAAAGCACCAGTCATCACAGTGACAAGCAGCAGCACCATCCTGATAAGAAATAATCTTGCTAGTAGAAGCCTTTCCTTCTCTTAAAATTTCTTCATGAATTGCTCAATAGAAAGAAGAAGAAAAAAAAAAAAAAAAGGTGACCGGATCAGCCCCGTCACAGGATTAGGTGTGATTCCATTGGGTCAAGAGCCGTTACCGGCTTGTCTGAAGCGGAACCGGGATGCTCTAGATGTAAAAGACAACTTGAGAATCACAACCTACATAAGCTCATCTCTTTTTCACGTTGCACTGCAGCTCATTCAAGTTGCACTGTAGTCTCTGAGAATTGACTTTCTGCGCAAGCTCTTTCCCCGAGCGCCAACCGGATCCAGTGCAACATGGCCAAAACCGCCCTCCTCGTCCTGGACATCCAGCACGGCATCGTCGAGCGCCTAGACGACGCCAATACCTACCTCGCACGCCTCGTTCCCGTCATCAAAGCGGCCCGCAAGTCCGACATCAAAGTCATCTACGTCAAGACAGCTTTCCGGGAAGGATACCCCGACACACACCCGCGCAGTGACATGGGCTCCCGAGTCCGAGAATCACAGTCCTTCCGCGAAGGCGATACCTCTGTCGAGATCCATCCCGCCGTGGCGCCGGACGCCAACGAGCCGATCATCACCAAGCGCCGCGTGTCGGCTTTCACCGCCACGGATCTGGACCTTGTGCTTCGCTGTCTGGGGACGGAGCATTTGGTCGTCGCCGGGCTGATCACCAGCGGGGCGGTGCTGTCAACTGTTCGGCAGGCTGCTGATCTGGACTATCAGTTGACTGTGCTGGAGGATCTGTGCATGGACAGAGACCAGGAGGTTCATGATATTCTGATGAAAAAGGTGTTGTCGAGACAGGCGAGGGTTGTTTCCTCTGCGGAGTGGTTGGCGGGACTTGTTTGATGATGAATCTGGTGACTGGACATGGCGACGATGGGACAGAAAGTTCAATGCCAAGCTAGGGAGTGTCGCTTCCGTCAAGGCCAAATGAGATGGCGGGAAAGGAATTCATCGGTACAGTCGAGTATCTCGTCGCCGTCTTGCGGTGATCGACTGAGGCCGCTACAGATTTGTACACAGATTGATTTTTTATCTCAATCAACAAAGTCACGCTATCAATCACTAAAGCGAGAGTTTCTGTCGAGTCTTACTGTAAGATCAGCGTGCATACAAATCTTCCTACACACAGACACACATATTTGGCGTCTCCCTATTTTCTGCTTAGTCACCATCCAGCAGCAACAACAACGCGACTTCAAGTCTGATTTTTTTTTTTCCCTTTCTTCCTCGCTAATTCTACCATATTATTAGACGACTGGTCCACTCAATATGGTTTTCCATTGCAATTAATTGCGTATGAGGTTGAGCCAATTGATGAATATCAATAATCATTTTCATCATGGTCGTCGGAGATAAAAGGCCACGGGCCGGGGCGTGCACAACCTGCCGGTAAGAGGAACTACACTGAGTACACTTCGGCCAGGAGAGCTGACCAACGCAAACGCGCTGCTCAGAGTTCGCAAGAGGCGCTGTGTTCCAGCTGGGGACAGGTACAATAATTGCGAACTCTGTTTGTCCCTGGCGATTCCGTGCAGTCTTAGTACGGAACCCGGGGTGTTTGCCGCTGCGACAAATGGCTCGGCGGCGTCCCATCACCCTGTGGCGGAGAAGCTGCCAGCGCCTGAACCTCCACGGGCTGAGGTCAAGCCGGTGAGAAGGATCCAGGAGTTACCGCCTGAGGAACCTCTGCTGGATCTGTATATGCTGGCCACGCCAGCGCTTTTTCTGGAGCTGGTGTCTTTGTATTTTCGGTCCATCCACAATGTTGCGCATACATTGTTTCACGAGGCGAGCTTTATGCGGCTGCTGAATGAAGGCAGAGCGTCGTTGATGCACGTGCATGCCATGTGCGCGCTCGTTGCGAGGTATGTCAGCCGAGTCCCGACGTGGCAGCGAAACTGTTGCAGAAACTGATCAATGGCAGATTCTCGAAGAATCCTGTCTTTAATGGTGTTGGTCCAGAGTCACGTGGCAAGCTCTATGCCGGTGAAGCCATTCGCTTATTTCAGGAGAGAGTTAACTATCCGAGCTTAGAAACCATTCAGGGAGCGGTTCTTCTGGGGCATCTCGTAGGGGGAGACGGAGACGCTCAGGCGAAGCAGGTCTACATCGGGATTGCCCGCACACACGCCGAAGTGCTCTCTTTATGGGCCATGCCGCCAAACTCCACCGTTGTGCATCGAGAAGAGCGTCGGCGGACGTGGCTTTCCATCCGTGTTGCGGACCCGTGGACTATCATCGACATGTCAGTGAATTCGGGGACGTCTCTGAACAATCTCAATGTGCTCCCCGAGGTAGACGATGTGGCGTTTCACACTTATGACCCGGAACTCTTGCGGGAGGCACCCGTTCCGTCCTCGTCGAGATGTGACATGTGGGCGCAGATGGCGGGGACTTTGGACATATACACCCGAATCAGCGTCCTCCTAACGCGACTCAGCCGTGGTGTCATTACCTTTGACGCCTACCTCGGCGAGGTCCCCTTGTTGAAAGAGTGTCTGGACGGATGGGTTCGGGGTTTGCCTCCAACATTGGCCTATAGCTCTGCGAATCTCGTGTTCTTCGCCAAACAGGGCCTGGGTCGGAATTTTCTCTCCATGCATATTGCATACCATCATTTCCGGCAAATGCTTTTCTTTCCCTCCCTGGATGCACGAGCAGGCCGAAACGCTGCATCAACCGGAGATGGCATTGCTCAGTGCAGAAAAAGCGCCAATGCGATCTCTGAAATCATCGATTGCTTCACAAAGGTGGACGATTGCCAGCTCGACTACTTCCTTTACGGGCACGTGGCCATTGTCAGCTCTTGTGTTTACATGCAGGCTCTGATGGTTAGCGAGGAGTTATCGGAGCTGCGAACCGCCCGGCAACGCCTAGTTGCGAACTTTGAATACCTGATGGGATTGAAAACACATTGGCCCGCTGTTCGGCAATCAGTGAGTCATCTTTTCTACATCCCCCAAGTCAGTTATATGCCTGGTGGCTAACTAGTCTAGATTGCTCGACTCCGCGACTTTCAAACCACTTACCAAGATACCATGTGCAATCCGTTCACCTTGGACAACTGGTTGGCCCGCTTTGTCATCGAGCACACGGCCATCCTGGCGGAGCGGCAAACACCCGGATCGCAACCCTCGAGCATTCCGCGACCATCACAATACAACTCCAGCGATGAGTCCGGCATCCTTGGACTGACGGGGAGCCTCAAAACCGAGTCTGCGCTTCTGATCCCGCCGTCGCATGCAAAAGTGTCTGACCGCGAGAGCGGCAAGTTGTCTGCTCTTCTCAATGACCACAGTCTGACCAGCGAGGCGCTCGTCAACAATGCTTTGAATTGGTTGTTGGAGTAGTTGCCCGTTCGCGCGCAGCTGAGCGATACTCGAGCTGCACCATCAACAACCGTCCGTAACCAGGAGGGAGGTTACCTGGTACTACAGTGGCTTCCGGGAATAAACTCTGGAGGCCCTTTCCGGCACTGATCATTATCGAGCCGATCTTAATGGAATCAATGAGATCTGATACGACCATACTGGTGGATGGCGTCACATCCATTCGGTTACAACACTACAGCAGCGTCGCCATTGTCGTTTGATGATGGCATCATTGAAGAGAATGAAGTGGGATCGGCACATAACTGTTGCTACCACCTACTATACTCGAGCCACAGAAATCCAGATACCCACGGCGGAAAGAAATGTCGTGACTAGCCGCAGCATGACACGATGTCCTGGGCATTCTTGCAGCTTAAGCAGAAAATCCGTGCCCTGTTAAATCAACAGATTTCGGTCTCACTCGGAATTCATTGATCAGTGAGAGTTGGGTAATGTGTTGAGGAGGAAGTATAGGATATAGAAGAATCGATCATTGTGAGTGAGGGTTCACAACGATGCACTATTGTACATAGAATGGTTGACAGATCACAAATACGAAGCAATACGAAGCCGCCTTGATGGCAATAATTATACCAAATATGGTGTACCAAGTCGTAAAGTATCAGAACTCGTCCCGTTATAATAAGAGTCAACCCTCCAACTCACTCAAGATATCATCCGCCGCCTTCTCCGCAGCCAAATACGTCGAGATAGCCGTAAACGTCCCTGGAATGCGCGGATACACACTCGCATCAACGACTCTCAGCCCTCGCACCTTGCGCACCCGGAACTTGCTGTCCAGCACAGCCATCGGGTCATCATCCGCGCCGATCGGACAAGTCGAGGACGCATGGTGGCCCCACGCCGTGTCTTTCACATACGTCTCGATGTCCGCCTGGCTTACAACCTCCGCACCGGGCAGGACTTCGGTGGTGGGGACCGCCTGACGGCGCAGCGCATCCCGCGCCAGTTCGATCCCCTCATAGATCGCCTGCAGGTCTGCGTCTGCGCCCGTGTCGAAGTAGTTATACACGATCTCGGGCGTATCCAGCGGGTCTGCGGAGCGCAGGGTGACCGTCCCCGCTGTGTTGCGCGGGTGCGCCTTGAGAATCGCCCAGGTGAACCAGTCGTGCCGCTCGGTGATGTTCACGCTGTATCCCGGGAAATACCCGCGGAAGTTGACCGGTCCGCCGAAGACGAAGGCGTCGTAGGCATCGTCTGCCGAAACGGTCGACTTGTAGTACATTGCGGCGGCGAAGCCGGCTGACGAGTAGATGCCTCTGTTCCCCAGGAGGGGCTTGGACTCCCAGCGGTTCAGGCAGGGGTCTGCCTCTCCGTGCAGGCTGAAGGTGCAGCCGTGCAGACTGGTCCAGTTGGATGGGACGTGGGCCTGGACGCCGACCTCGTAGTGGTCTTGGAGGTTTGTGCCGACGCCGGGGAGGTCGGCGACGAGGGGGATGTCGAAACGGGCGAGTTCATCTGCGGGGCCGACACCGCTGAGTTTCAGCAGTTGCGGGGAGTTGTAGGTGCCGCCGGCGACGATGACTTCGCGGGAGGCGTCGGCGGAGCCGGGGGTACCGGGTGGGGAAAGGTGGGCGAGCGGGCTGGCGCGGTAGAGGTGCTTGCCGTCGAGGAACTCGACGCCCGTGGCGCGGGGCGGGGAGACGCTGGTGTCGAAGACGACGCGGGTGACGTGGCAGTTCATCCGCACGTCCAGCGGGTACTTCTTGCTGCCATCTGGGTTCGTGGCGTCGCGCACGGTGGTGATGAACTCGCGGGGCCCGTTGCGGCGGCCGTCGGTGCTTGACAGAGGGACCTGGTAGTATCCCGGTTCGGTGTCGCGGGCGAGCGAATCGGCGTTGGCGTCGCCCAGAAGCAGCGTCCCAAAATTCATGAGAGTGTGGGTAATGTTACCCAGGGCGAAGGCGCCGCCCGTCAGCAGGCTGAGCAGTTGCGGGTCCTTGAGAACGATGTCCAAGGGCGCTGTGTCGGTGTGCAGCCAACCGTCGTAGCCGTGGCCCTTTTGGCCAGGGAGGAGGTATTCATTGTGCTCCATGCGAACGAAATACTGACGCATGTTGTCGGGGGACCATGAGCTGTCGCCCGTCAGCGTGGCAATGTACTCAAAGTCAGAGCGGTCTGGATAGACCGCGATCATGGCGTTGTGTGCGGTGCAGCCACCCAGAGTGCCTGTACGGGGATATAAGGTCCCCATCATGGTGGAATTGGCCGGCGGAGTGAGACCGGTGTAGATCTCTCCGTCGGGGGTCTCGTAGCTTGTCTTGAAGTCGCGTGCCTGTTGCTCCTCATCGGCGTAGTGGCGCACGAAGAAGTTCCAGGCCATCTCCTCGTCCTCAGAGGCCAGGGCCGAGTATGCCGGCACGGTGTAGTTGACATTGAGTCCTTGGTCATCTCCTGCTTCGATCAGCAGCGTCTTATGGCCGGCGAGAGCGAGACGAGCGGCCAGCGGACCGCCTCCAGCGCCGGACCCCACGACGATGTATTCATATCCGGTCAGATGGACAGCGGAGGTCAGGCCAGCGGCAGCCAGCAGGCTCAAGAGCTTGAGTTTGGAACTCATCGTTTTGTCGGATAATGATTATGATGATGATCAAGGGGCGTCTGGCGGTTGATGTAGTTTGACACGTCTTCCCCTGAGAGGTTATCAGGGACAGGAAGCATTCTCCGTGCATGACGGGCTCTGACGGGCATCGTGATGGGCGGGAATCCTGCAGACATTGAGCACTGAAAGGGCGAAGATCATCGCGACGAAAGATTGACTTTTCCCGATTCAGACAACAAAAACTGATAAACAACTGCGAGTCAGAACTCAGACTCGGTTGGTGGAAACAGATCGTCATGGAGAATACCTACTTTGTCATGGTGGATATCAGACTGCTTAAATTTTGGAGCAGCGAAAACGACAATCAGATGGTTCCAGGATAAATGCATGATACAAGAGGTGAAGACAACTTGCTGATAGCTTGTCGGATATAGGGTACTGCGACGTGGTTAGCATCTTTTGAAGCCCATCAGAGATGTGTTACTTCGAGCGTTACTGCATCCCAACATAGACAAGTCACGCAATCCACTTGCCACAGTTTGTTTTTAGACTTCTGCAGCGGGTTCTGGATTTCGCAACAAATCAAGAAGCCTCGGTTGTTGAAAAGCTGATGCAGAGAATAGAGAGACTAATATTAATAGTGTACCTTAGTCCTGGTTGTTCAATGATGCTGTCAAAAAGGGGGTGGGCCTGAGGCCACTTCCCCAACATTAGCGTGTCGTCTATCCCCAAGTCTACCAGATCTTTTACCAAGTTGGCTGACGGCTCTCAGGGATCGTCGTGAATGAAATGAGACCCTGAGTGGATTACCAATGAGAAGCCATTTCGGCGAAAATTAAGCGAGAACCGTCGATCGACGTCCACTGTCTTAAAGGCATGGTCGACGTCCAGGCAGTGCCAGTCTGATCATCACTTGAATATGCTCTGCAGCGACCCAAAGTCAGACATGGAGTGGATGATACCAAGTACAACAGACATCAATTCGTCAAGTGTTCCAGCCAGAATTAGCGATACCAACAACTCATGGAGTGATTTGGGTTTGACCTCGGATATCTGGTCCTATGGAACACTCTCCCATTGCACCACCACAATCCCGCCTGCAGTTTTCACTTCAAACAACACAATACCGAGAAGGGTCAGCCAAGAACGGTACTTGTCTTTTCTTAATGAAGGATCCTGCCGCTAATAGACTTCTTCAGGTCATCCTCGACGCAGCCAAGACTTTCTGTGCGGAGTAATCGCGAAACATGGAGAAGATATATATTAAAACCCTCGGCCAATGGTCACCGTGACCCTCTGCAAGCAATGCACCCCTCCTCCGCAAGGTGTGTATGTGTATTTCGCCTCGGTTTGAGGGCCCCCAGGACTGACTGAATCCAGATTCTGACCAATACCATCGAAAACAGCAGCACTCCTGCCGAGGATGAGGCCTCGTTCGTATGCACTGCTGGGAGAGATGAAGAGCAATGCCGGGTCGACTTGAGAACAACTGCCGTTGAGCATCGAGAATTCCAAGGGTATAAAGAGAGCGTCCAGGTCGCCTCGAGGATGTGATTGATGCCAGACAGCAGCAGCAGCAGCATCATCATCATCATCATCATCATCATCATCATTATCATCATCATCATTATCAGCAGATTAAGATCTCTCCAGTCCTCATCAAAATGAAGTTTGCATTCCTCGCCCTCGCAACCATGGCTGTAGCCAGTCCTGTGGCCATTGACAAGCGGCAGCGTATGTCCCAATTCTTTTTAAAACCAGTCTCATGCTAACGAAGCAGTTGCCGTTCCCGAGAATGAACTTCGGACTGGTCCCTGCGAGCCCGTCACTTTCATATTTGCCCGGGGTTCCACCGAGCCTGGACTTCTGGTATTTATACTTTGTACCAGCCTTAGTTCTGGTAGATACTGACCGAAGAAAGGGAATCACCACTGGTCCCGCCGTCTGCAGCGCTCTCAAACTCGCTCGTCCAGGCCAAGTGGCCTGTCAAGGCGTTGGACCAGCATATATCGCTGATCTGGCCTCCAACTTCCTCCCGCAGGGCACGAATCAAATTGCCATCGACGAGGCAGCGGGTCTCTTTAAACTCGCTGCGTCCAAGTGTCCAGACACGAAGATCGTTGCTGGTGGATACAGGTATTTTTCCCTTCGTTCGATCACGACATTTGAGTGAAGCTAAAGAACTGTGTAGTCAGGGAGCCGCTGTCATGCACGGTGCCATTCGCAATCTGCCCAGCAACGTCAAGGAAATGGTCAAGGGGGTTGTGCTGTTCGGCGATACGCGCAACCAGCAGGATGGAGGGCGGATCCCGAATTTCCCCACAGATCGCACCAAGATATACTGTGCTTTGGGAGACCTGGTGTGTGAGGGGACTTTGATCATCACTGCGGCGCATCTCAGCTACACGGCTGATGTGCCGAGCGCAGCCATGTTTCTCTTGTCGAAGCTTTGAGCACGTCTGCTGTAGTTGCAGTGGATGTTGGAGACATCAGAGGGCACAAGATTGTAGGAGGAATAGGATGCAGATCAAAACGACATTTAGGATAGCAAGCAATGTCAGATAAATCCTCGCTGCCTCAGGCTTAACACTATACTCCGAGCCTCGTTCCTCAGGTACCAACCCATGCATTACCCTTTTAGGCATTCCACTAGGCAACAGATGAACCATTATTACGTCTTCCTCTCAACCAAAAGAACCGGGGCGGTAGTGCAGCGGTCGTACTATTGCGCAGAACTCTGCCTATGCAACTCCGTTGAGTCTACAGTATGGTACCTGCCTACCCAGACGACCCCGGTTCGAATCACAGTCCTCCCACTGAGAGGAGGAGACTGGGCGGATTTCCAGTTGGCGGGGGTGCACCTGCCGCTGAGGTTCCGTTTTGTCTCTCTGAAATATTTCTCTTTTATCTTTTGTTCTAAAATATCTTGCTTAATGTCTACTTCAAAAGATTATTCAGGTAGTCTGTGCCTTCTCTCTCTCTGTTGGGATCTTGTAGTTGAAGCTTTTTGTTCTTCTATACCAGAAGGGCGGACGCAAAACATCTACCCCCAATCACTTACTCTCTTGTACTTTGATCATCCATCTACCTTACTCGAGTCATCATCTCATTATCTAAGTATAAACCCGTCTGTCATGAAAATAAGCAGGATATACAATAGTCGTCTTTCCATCTTGACCTTGTCCTCTCGATCACCCGCCCTCTCTGAACCCACTCACGTACTCGAAATCATTCAACTGGAGCTGAGCAAAGAGAAAAATCGAGTATCTTAAGCAATACGGACAACCACTTCTCCCGCTACAACGTCTTCAGAGGGTAGTCCACAAGTATCAGAGGCAATCTCACCTGGAACATCTTGAGAAGCCTCACAGGTACCTCCGTATTGCCCCTTATCTCCTACCAGCTGACGAGTCGCTGTTACGTCCTACAATCCAGCACCCCAACCCTTCAACCGAACAACATCTTCATATCTGACAGTCTCTGATTACTGGCCTGATAGACTGGCAACACTGTCCGACACTCCCCTTCTTCCTATAAAGCAGCATTCCCAATAGCTTCTAGAACTATGGCGACCCGGTATCAGAAGCAGGAGAAGAGCCGACACTTCCCCCTCGAAGGATTAACATAGTATCAACAGGTTCTTCTAAACAACGTCAACTTCATTACACCTACCTCTTGGAAACATCCAAGGTGAATTCTGTCCACTACAATCACCTCACCCATTGCATAAGTACCCTCCGACGCAAACTCTTCCGCCACTCCCGTGAGCCTGGGAAGGTGATAATATCACATTAAAGAACGGCCTAGTATTACGACTCGGGAATGGTCGAGACTGGCTCAGCCTTTGCACTCCGATGGCGTCATACCTCCCTGTCCGATTAGTCTTCAGAGAATGAGGCAAATGAATGTCTGCGCCTATATACGGCGCAGGTCGAGGCGGATGAGCAATCAAGCTGCGAGGGACGTGCTTGAAATCGGCTCGGAGGGCTGGGTCCCTCAGGTCAGTACCCATGAAAACGCAAGGCAGCGTGAGAGACAGTTGAGAGAGGATTTGTTGGTTGTGGCGGAGACTGATGAGGAGCGGAATTTGACGAGTGAGCCTTGGCCCTTTGATGATTTCGATGAGGGGAGTACATGTAGCTGTTTACAACGAGCAGCTCGAGGGGTCACACGCACAAGCCGTGGTTCATTCTGTCTTAGAAAAAGCAATATAGCTCGACCTTTCCTGACGAACGGGCATTCAGCTACTGACCTTAATCAAGGACTCAGATGAGAAGCATCATGTTCTTCTGGCATTTGTCTGACGGCACGACCACCACCCACTGACATGCGTGAGTACAGTGATTATTCTGCAGTAAAATGTCGGATGAAAGCGTAAAGAACACGTTCATAGCAGCATTATCGAGTCTGACATGGATTGCATACCCTGCTCAAATGAGGGGGTGCTGCATATCCCACGCATCCCTGTTGTACGAATGCCACAGCAGGTGGAGACGGGGGAACGAATATATTTGTCCTCGACAATGCCGTCCGTTCATCACCACACCTCTAGAAAGGGAGTCATACGAGCACAATGTCGGAACACCACCTCGACGCCCTGGTCGTCGGCACCGGGTTTGGGGGCATCTACGCTCTCCAATCACTCCTCAAACTGAACCTCAAAGTCAAAGCGATCGATGCCGCCAGCGACGTCGGCGGCACCTGGTACTGGAGTCGCTACCCCGGCTCCTTGAGTGATACTTGGTCGCACCTGTACCGCTACTCGTTCGACTACGAGTATCCGCTCTCCCGGCGGTACGTCTCGCAGCCCGAGGTGCTGGCGTACCTGCGCCACGTGGTAGACAAGTACGACCTACGCAGACACATGCAGTTCAATACGGACATGACCAGCGCCATTTGGGACGAAGACACAAGCACGTGGCGTGTGTCCTGCAAGACAGGAGATGTTTTCCGCGTCCGATACCTCCTCACGGCACTGGGGCTGCTCACGAAGGCCAATTACCCTGATCTTCCAGGCTTGCAGACCTTCCACGGCGAGATACGGCACACTTCTGCTTGGGGCACCGAGCTGGATCTCAAGGGTAAACGAGTTGGTCTTGTCGGTGTGGGTTCCTCGGGCGTGCAACTCGTGCCCGCCGTCGCGGACACCGTCCAGTCCCTGCACGTCTTCATTCGTCGTCCGCAATACTGCGTCCCCAGCGGTGACCGTGCGCTCACCGCGCAAGAGCGCGAGGAGATTTTCAGAAACTTCCCTAATATCTGGGCTGAGGCTCGCTCCTCGCAGCTCGCCATCGGGTTCCCCGAGCTCTCGCGACAGGCCATGGCGTTGTCCCCCGCAGACCGCGAAGCCGCCTTCGAGCGCCTGTGGGAAGCCGGAAGTGGGCTGCAGTTCCTGTTTGGTGGATTCACAGACCTTCTCACGGACCCCGTTGCCAACGAGGAGGCATGCAAGTTCATCCGGAGGAAGATCGAGGCGATCGTGAAGGATCCGCACAAGCGGAGGGTGCTTACGCCAGACGAGCCGTATGCGCGTCGTCCGCTGTGTGCGAACGGCTTCTACGAGCAGTTCAACCGAGAGAACGTCTTTGCGGTGGATATCCGAACTCATCCCATTGTGAAGATCGAAGCAGAGGGGATCCGCACGGCGGATGGCAAGCTGCATGAATTAGACGTCATTATATTCGCCACGGGGTACGACGCAATGGACGGAGCGTATGTTCGATTGGACATACAAGGCCGAGAGCCAGGCGATAACCTTCGAGATCGCTGGAAGGCTGGAGGCCCAATGAGTTATCTGGGAATTTCCGTGCCAGGTTTTCCGAATCTCTTGATGATTAACGGGCCGCAGACGCCGTTTGCCAATATCCCTCCCATATCAGAGGAGAATGTGAACTTCATAGTTGATTTGATCAAGCGGGCTGAGGAGGTCAGTCAGCAGGAGAATCGCCCTTGTTTGATCGAAGCAACTGAAGAGGCGCAACGCAAATGGAGGGAGCACTGCGATGAGATCGCCAACAGGACCCTCCTGAAGCAGGTACCTCAATGGCTATTCGGCAATAATGTTCCTGGCAAGGTAGCCTCCACGTTATTCTATTTTGGTGGAGTGGGACGATTCAGAGCTTTAATCGCGGACATCACGGCCAAGGGCTTTACAGGATTCAAGGAGCCTCTGAGTAGGGTGTCTGAGCCGCGGGCGAATCTATGAGAAGTGCTGCATATTTCCATTCTGTCTATAGTTCGTGAATAGTCTCTCTATTTCCGGTTCCGCGGACTATTTTTGATTTCCAAACACTGATGGCCACTTTCGGCTCACTTTCGCCAGCACGGATTGTAGATCACCAGACTCAGCCTGTTTCGATTCACTCGTCTCTTCCTGCCATTTGAGCTCAAAATCGAACAATTGTGCCTTTAGTTCTGTTGCGTTATACGCACTTGCCTGAGTGCTTTCCAGGTATTGCAGGAACATCTGCCAGCGAGGGATGTCGTATGACGAGACCAAGCCACCCCATTGCTTTGAGGCATAGTCGTTGATCTCACCCTTGGGGCCCCAGAGGGTGATCTGGTTTCTGACATTGTACTCGTAGAATTCAGCCTCTGTGTCGTTTCTCGCCCATGACCGTGCTGACCGAATCCAAGTCGACAGGCGGAAATTGTCGTTGGTGGAAAGCACAGAGTCCAGATCGCGTAGCAGCTGAATGAGATTGCTTCCCTCCTGGGAAACGGAGGCGCCACCTTGATATGTAGACACCAGATTGATATACATAGGGATAAATGCGTTCGCCATTACTTGACGCGTAAGGTCGACCATGTCATAGAGGAAAGCGGGCTGGGACCATAAAGAGCTGTTCTTGAATGCAGCGGAGTCCATCAGTTGCCATGCCTGGACAAGCGCAGACGAATCGTAGTTGATCGTGGTAGGATGATGACCAGTACGGTTAAGCAACCCTGACATGCTGGGCTGCAGTTCAAAGATGGATTTAGACACCGCCGTTGATGTCAGGTTGGTGTTGTTGTAGGCTGTTGTTCTCAGAATATCCCATGCTTGATACAACTCATTGGGTACGGCTGAACCTCTCCCTCCAGAAGAATACCGAGTCTCGACCCAATCATGGAAGTAACTATCCGTATCAATCGGCTGCCGAGACCAGGCTTGATCCAGGAGCAAGTCGTACATGATCTCATTGCCCTCTTGACCTTCCATGGTTAGACCGAATCCGACAAGCGAGTCCGAAGTAGCAAGGGCTTGGGTTGCATTCACTGTGACATTCATCACCTGTCCGTACAAGCCCATGTTGCCGCCGTAGTCATGCAACTGGCACCAAATCCACGGCTTGCCATAGTACGACTGCGTACGCTGCCACTGGGGCTGCGACTCAGAAAAGAGGTCCAGCACCAGCATATCTTGGTCCACTTCAACGCCGGACAAGTACGCCTTCACACGCTCGTCGGTCCAGAAATCCGAGTTGGAGTAGAATAGCCAACCCTGCATCAGCCAAATAGCATTGGGATCCGCGCTCTTGAGACTCAACCAGGTGTTGTGGGTGACGTTACGCAAGTAGTCAAGATCTCCCGAGTAGGGATCGTTCTCGTTGTACTGATCCAGTGTATAGATGTGCGTGATATTCCCATACGCTTGCTGCTGTTTCTGGATGAAACTGCGCTGCAGACGGGTGAAGCTGGGGTCGAATGGTTCTAGGAAGGTGTCTTTGGTGTATCTCTCATCAAACCCGCCCCATCGTGAACCATTCACCACTGTTGCATTTGGGAGGACACGGCTGATCGCTTGAGGCACAAACCCTGTAAACGCAGGTAGAACCGGTGTCATACCCAGTTCGACCATACGGCGGACGATCTTCTTCTGTAGCTTGAATTGTGAGTCAATCCAGGAATAGGGCAGATCGCCGCCCCAGGAACCTTGGATATTACCGAATCGATTCCAGGCTTGGAATGCTGGCCCGCTTAGGAAAGATGAGATCTCAGTGTCCGTCAGGCCGATCTCACGGAAGACCTCAACCAAGATCTTTTCCTGGCCGACCCAAGCAAGGGGCAAGTTAATGCCTCGCAGAGCCATCCAGTCCAGCTGAAGTTCCCAGTCTTCCCATGACCAGAATGCCGTTGTGTAGGAGAAGGTCACTAGGGAGTCAGTCATACTGTGACAGTTCGATTAAGGTCAAAGCATACCAGTATTGAAATGGTACCGTCTTTCAACGGCACTGGAGCCAGTCAATGGCTTTGATAGACGAGGAAGTGGCGTGGGTGCTAGATGTAGCTGACTGCCGACAAACCAGTAGATGTCTACGAGCGCGACATCAGCGAGATAGCGATGCAGACTGTCCTTGTCATCAATTGCCTTGCTCAGCAGTAAATGAATCTATAGAACATCATACCCGAATGATAGGGCGCTTAATGAATTTCCTTGCACCAAGATTGTGCCATTGGCGGCCGTTGACACAACGAACTGATCGTTGTTGGTCGAGTTGAAGTCCACCAGAGAGAACCGAAAACTGTCGGCATGCTTCGGCATTCGACGACGAACAAGATCGTAGATTCCATCAAGCGACTGCGCAAAGGTGGTGGAGGCGCATAGCCCCAAAAGCAATGCTTTGATCCAGACCATCGCCGGGATCTACTGTAATCAATCCCTTGGGGTTGACAATTGACAAGCTGAGTTCGAGTCAGCCCGGTACCTCTGCAGTCTTATACCAGTACCTCTCGCAAGAAACTTGATCGAATCTTAATTGAGTTGGTTGGAACCATACAGGTAAACTTGGGATATTGAAGGATCCACATGAGTGCCGATCTTATCAAAGCTGGCAGGATAATAGCCAATCTACCCCTCACGTGTGTGCAGTGAACATAGATTGTAGTCACATCCGGGCAGGGGTCTGTAAACTCATCATTCAAGTAATATCAGGATTTCTTGAATTGAATCTGTGGCTGAAAGCCACAAAGGCTTGGACGCATGGCCTTAACAGCCACCTTCTCAGATGTCCTGGTCTTCTGTCTCTGCAATCGGGCCAATCCTCGATCGTTCATCCTCGTTCTTGGAACGGTCAAAGTGAATCTTCGAGCCCGACGGTCTGTGGAAAATTTGCCTCTGCGTTGGGATCGAAGCGGTAGCTCTCAAGAGCGCTCGTCAGTCTGTGATCAGGAAATGATTAGCCCTGGGATATTAGTCTTTATTAGACAGCGGTAAGACGCACCTTGGCTTCTAGCTTTCCAGAAGAGCTTGTTCCAGGTGGTTTCTGAGAACTTGGAAAGTCTAGTCCTCTCTTTGCACGTGGTCTAAGGCATGAAGAGCAGCAAGCAGGAATACCAACTGGACGGCAGATGTAAGCAGAAAAAGATCTCTTTACCTGTGCTTGCTGGAAGATAGTACACGGGAGTGAAGCAACCGATCCGTAGGACTCAAGTCCTGTCTGTAGGACTAGGGACACTCTCAAAATCGCTCTCTTTCCTTCGAAAGGCATGCCAGAATCGTTTCTCATACAGAACGAAATGGCGGCACAAAGGCTTGAGAATCAGACCAAGGACGTTTGCGGTTCGGATATCCTTAAAATAAGAGGTTGAGGCCAGATGTCTTGATTCTCTATCCTTTGATTGTGAAGTAGTCAGCTTCGTATGAGGAGGCATTGTCGACTCTGTGTGTGAATGCTTACCAAACCCGTGACAAGAACCCAGAATGGCAGGAGTAAACCCATCTTCCTAGACCACTACACTCAATGCAGGGACGAGCATACGAGCATACGCTGGTGGGATCATTTTCGTGATTCATCAAGGGGATTGATGACAGTTGCTGAAGGTAGAAATAGAATCTTCTATCTTCCGTGATGTATATGCTGAAGGTATTATCAGGAGTATCATATCAAGCTAGGTCTGTGGCAAGTGAATGATTTCCCGATCTGAAACGACACATATAAGTCTCCAACTTACAACTCAGCCCTGAAGTTATTTTTCTGACAGTACAGTCGACTGGTCTACAGGATCTCATTTGAAAGTCCTGTATCAACATCTCAAATGAGCGGCTCAAGTCTACCACCTATTAGCTCTTTGAAGCCTTTGGGAGCGCATGTGAGTAAATTACATTAACTTCAAGCGTCACGACGATATTGACGGGAATAACTAGTTTTTTCGAAGCAAGAAACGACAGACCTCGCCCCTCTTCAACCTGCCTACTGAAATCCTGGTCCAGATCTTATCCTATACAGATTTACAAGGCACGATTGCCCTATCAACAAGCTGCAAATATCTTCTCAACATCCTCTCTTTCACAGCCTTCCATGCCGATTTTTTGGTCGAAAAATTCACGGACCACATGCCCATAAAGCTAGTCCTGTTTCTCTTGAGACTGGCGTGGCCAAGGGAAATGGATGGACGTGCGAAGAAAGGTCTCCGTTACTGCATTGCCTGTCTCCATATTCATCCAGAGAAGAGAAAGTACTGGGAGGAGAAATTGTCGATGAAGGTCAGCAGGGATTTCTGGAATAGCCTGAAGTCCCAGTGGGAAATGAACCTTGAATGTCCCAAATGCTATCTCAGTCACAAAAACCACAAGTGTTTTTGTTATGTGGCATTCATTAAGCGTTGGGAGCAGACTTGTGCTGAGCATATCGGGTGGTTCGGTAACTAGGCATAGGGACATCTAAAACGAACTATGCTCTATGACAACTAGGATACCATCGCAGCTCTCTGGGGGTCTAGATTAAGATGTTCAATCTTGTCGATCTGAACTTTGGGTTTCTGTCATGTACATGCGAACGCCATTCCATGGGATCTTCTAAGCTCCAGCACCTACTAATCAGCAGAATATGACTGTCAGGTCTTCAAAACTCCATTTTCTTTCAGAATCAGCGACGTAAATTAGTTGATATCCCAGCCGAGATTCTCATCCAGACCTCCTACATGACCTTACCGGCTCATCTCACCCTTGCGCTCACCTTCAAACGCTTTTTACTCTTTCTCCATCGCCAGATCACAATATAGCATTTGGTATACTTGCCCGAGCTCGACCAATTCCTGGATTGCATCGAGCCACTAGATGGAGGGTCTGCAGATCTTGTCATGAGTGTCGTCCAACAGCGAAGGAATTTTAGAAGACCAAATGGTCTAAGAAACTTTTTAAGAGAACGGGAGACGTCTGGGAAGGAGACTGGGAGCATGGTATTTTCTGCTGGTGTACGCAATGCCAGTCTATAGAGCACAAGGACTCTGATGGGAAGTGATGTTAGTAGCTCTTTCAGAACTGTCTACTTTCATGTGAGAGTTATCATCTCTTGTAGACTTTGCTAAGCTTGCTTCGCCTAGGCTTTCATATCCAATAGCAATTATTTCATGATTTATTCTCTGGGTAGGCTGAAGGGACTGGGTTTTGTTCGATAGCTATATGAGGTCTATCGTGCTTCGAGTGATTCTCTGACCCGCAGAAAAACATTCTGTGCCATCCTGATCATGATTTATGAATTAGACCTTGATCAGACCGTCGTACAGCTCCCAAAGGTCACTCACCTAATTCGAATTACAGCTCTCCTGTATCTCTTCCACATCAAGCTTGCCCCCTCATATCAAGCTGATTCTGATACTGCACTGGACATGCCACCGGTACCGGTTTTTCCATTTGTGCCGTCGCCATCGAGTATTGGTTCATAGGCCATTGATTGTGGGACTGCTGGGCAGCCTGCCATTGCTGATTATGGGGCTGTTGAGGAGTCTGCCATTGCTCGTAAGGCGCGAATGAGTAGTTAAGGTTCTCCCGTTCATCTTTCTTGCGATCCATCCGACATTTGAGAATGAAAAGTGCGATTATAGTGAGGATAAGGATGAGGAACGCGAGTGGGATAACGACTGCCTTGATGATGATTTTTGTCTTTGCGTCCATGTTGGCTGTTTGTCTGAGGAGACTCTGTGACGGAAACCGGAGAGGGGCGAAGTCATCTCACTTATCTTGACTCGGTCATAGAGGGAAATAGAGATGCCTAGCTGAGAAACGTATTGATGAGCAGCGCTTAGATCCGTCGTTGGATTTGACGATCGGCATGGACATAGCGTGATGGTCGCCGGGTGGAGTAGGTATGCAAGCCCTTTCACACAGATTCATGCAGTATCAAGGAATTCTGATCAATCGTCTTCTGTTGAGCAAGGTGAAAATAGATTTTGGCTCTCCTTGGCGAATGCTTGAAGAAGGCTTCTGTAGGTGGTCGAGAGTGAACTAGATAGTGCGTAGCCAATGGAAGACGCGAACTTGGCGCTGTGCATGTTACCTAGACCCAAACCAAGAGGCGTTGATACCTGCAAATAGACTATCAAGCAGTCATCATGATCAGTTGACTAGTTCTAATAAAGGTCAGACTTACTCTGATAAGGCGAGACTGCATCCCAGCTATGGCTTGTGTTGGTCGATGAAGTCCTCTTCCTCCGGTATGCAGGATGAGTGTACATCAGGTCTAGAATCATCTCAGCGTGATTCCACTAGATTATCATAAAGCCAGTTCAGGTATCACTGATCTGGAGTCCTCAACTTGTAGTCAGTTGATTTGTGGGTTGCGTCTTAGAACATTTTTGAGATTTCTTAACTTATATATCTATCTTTCATCACCTCCCGAATCTCTAGCCAAGACAAAGGGCATAGTCAGGTCTCAGGTAACAGAGAAGAAAGTTATAGTAGATCCTGAGCCTGCTAAGAAAGTTCGGATTGCATACAACTCCGTTGAATCCGTACCCATACAGGAAAGACACCACAAACGCGGGCAGGACTTCTTTCACCAAATCACAACCATCCATCAGTTTCAAGGCCACCAGCCAAGACAATCAATCCCTTGGCTGCTTTTTAGGTAATTTCACTGTCACCATCGTCATTGCAGGTTTTGTGCTTCATTTCCCCACATATATGGCGATCTTCTCTTATGCGGGAATAGTGACTGCTTCACATCTTCAGTATCAGACGACAAGAAGTTGTGCTAGTCTCAAACGATTTGTCAATTGGTGTCCCCAATATATGAGACTCTAAAGATTCGAATCCACTGTTTCACCTCTAGTTTCGATGCGGGGTGGGGATGCCTCCTTGATACTTCTGGACAATGGTGAAGGATCTGTGGGACAGGATCTCTCAGGTGCCTTCCACCTGTCATTTAGGCCCTTTAATGCAGGCAAATCAGCCCGACCAGTCGAGCTGATCTCCATAGGCATGGTGAGGCTAGCAGACCAAGGGGATAAAAGGCGTCCAAGACCCGTTTCCCAGGTCTCCCACAAGCCAACAAAGTCTTTTGCGCGACTGATAGTCCAAAATGACGCCTTTCTCCTTCCTCTTCGCCCTTCTTCTTTATGTCCTTACGGTCGGTGCCAGAGCCTTAGGATCTCACTCGTCACCCATCCTTCCCAGAGCAGGATCTCTTGAGCAAGTCACCAATTTTGGCGACAATCCCAGCAATGTCGCCATGTACATTTATGTTCCCACAAACTTGGCTACGAACCCGAGCATTATCGTTGCCATTCACTACTGTGAGAGGTCCAGGCAACTGCAATATGACCTAGAACTAATAGTAGGTTACAGGCACAGGAACAGCAGAGGCATACTTCACCGGCTCTCCCTATGCCACACTGGCAGAACAATACGGCTTCATAGTCATCTATCCCGAGAGTCCATATGAAGGCAAATGCTGGGATGTAAGCTCGCAAGCGACTCTGACTCACAACGGTGGTGGAAACAGCAACTCCATTGCCAACATGGTCACCTGGACTATCGAGCAGTACAATGCAGACTCCAGCAAGGTGTTTGTGACAGGTTCTAGCTCGGGCGCGATGATGACGGTGCGTTTACCTACAGCCCAAGGAAGATCCATTGTGGTACTAACAACAATAGAATGTCATGGCAGCCACATATCCCGAGCTATTCGCAGCAGGTATCGCCTACTCTGGTGTAGCCGCCGGCTGCTTCATGTCCGCCGCCAACCAGGTCGACGCATGGAATAGCAGCTGCTCGCAGGGCCAGGTCATTGCCACGCCTGAGGTTTGGGCCGGCGTTGCAGAGGCTATGTTTCCGGGATATAATGGCCCACGGCCTAAAATGCAAATATATCACGGTAGCGTTGATGAGGCACTGTACCCGCAGAATTACAACGAGACCTGCAAGCAGTGGGCGGGCGTCTTCGGGTATGATTATGGCGCTCCACATACTGTCGTAGAAAATACACCTGAGGCCAACTATGAGACCACCACTTGGGGTGACAAATTGCAGGGTATTTATGCGACTGGTGTGGGGCATACGGTGCCAATTCATGGGGATCAGGATATGATCTGGTTTGGGTTTGCCAGTTGACGGCCAACTGGCTAGTTTCATCAACTGGGCATAAATCAGGGTTCAGGACAAGCTTGTAGATAGAAGCCAAGCAACTCATCAGCACTGACAAGCTGCTTTTCGAGGCACTGCTACTATCTTTGAGGCTTTGAGCCCTATAAACGGTCCTGTAGTTGCATCGCCGAAATCAAACGCCGAAGGTCTCCAGATAGACTCCAGGTCGCCGGACCCACATGATCCCTACGTCTACAGCCCATCATTCGTCATACATGCATTCGAACTACTTCAACTGATTCTATACAGCCTTATTTTTCATCATGTCAAGCTCTAATACCCCCAAATTTCGTCTAATTAGCCACTTTGAAGAGCGGTGCGTAGACCCTATCGGCCTATCCCATCTACCACCCCAAACCCCACTCACATCGAGAGACGTAGTTCTCCCGAAGACCACGGCTCAGGATGGTCGAATCTCTGGGAAACAGGCGAAGACAACCTCTGGGATAGAGGCCTGCCGTCCCCGGCACTAATCGACCTGATCGAGCAGCAGCAGCAATCACCCACCAGCCTCTTCAACCCCTTCACAGCCGACGGACAACGAAAGAAGGCCCTGGTCCCGGTACTCCATCCCACTCACCCTTCCGTTTCCATCTCACTCCTTGCTGAAACAAGTCTAGGGCTGCGGACGAGGCTACGACGTCGTCATGCTAGCTCTCCATGGGTTCGACGCCTCCGGCCTCGAAATCTCCGCAAAGGCCGTCTCGGAGGCGGAAGCATACGCCGCGTCGGCGATGAGCCAGCCGCAGGCATACAACTTCGGCGCGGGATATCAGGCTGAGAACAGCTCTCCCGGCTCAGTTAACTTCATGCAAGGGGATTTTTTCCAGCCAGATTGGTCCGGCGACGAGAAATATGACTTGGTTTACGATTATACGGTGTGTGCTCCCCCATCTCGGGCTACGTACGGCTTGCTCTGTAGACGGTGGGAATGCGAAAGCGCTGATCCATATAGTTTCTGTGCGCTCTCCACCCTAGCATGCGGAGAGACTGGGCGATGCGCATGGCGAGCTTGGTGTCTACCGGGGGGTTGCTGGTTTGTCTTGAGTTTCCCATGTACAAGGATCTCGGGCTGCCTGGGCCTCCCTGGGGCTTGAAGGGTGTTCATTGGGACTTGTTGGCTCGTGGAGGTGATGGGCTACTCACCGATAATGTTGGGGAGAGGGAAACAGATACTCAAGGGCAGTTTCAAAGAGTACTGTATGTTAAACCGGAACGGACGTATGAGGTGGGCAAGGGGACGGATATGTTGAGTGTTTATATGCGGAAGGAAGTAGGCCGTCTCTGGGGTACGGAGGAATGAAGAGAATTTTAGAAATTATGTCAGTGGAATGAATGGCCGGATGGTAGACCACAAATAAAGAAAGATACGGCGGAATCTCGCAGGCTAAATAAAAAGAGAGTGGTAAGTGGTGACAAGGCAAAAAAGGAACAAAAGAAATGACAAGAGTGGGATTCGAACCCACGCCATCATACGATGATGAGGAAACTCTGAGAGCTTGGTATTAAGGTGGACCTTAACCTCACGCCTTGGACCAACTCGGCCATCTTGCCTTACTTGACGGCAAGTTTTCCACTTTGACTATATAGAGAAATCACAGGCACCGTCGGTCTCGAGCTTGGGCAGTGGGCAGCTTGCCCAAGCAACGAGAACATGTGATAACGAATAAGTCAAGACTCCAAAATCGAGTGTTTGTGATGAAAGGAAAATCCCTAGAAAAATAACATTCAGGTACATTTTGAAATTAGCACTTCCGATATCCCAGGAAAGTACTGATCCTCCCTTTGGGGGTGGTTCAGAGACTCGACTGATTATATAAAACGCCCCCAGGTGATCAGGAACTGGATATTTTGGTGTTAGTTGAATAAAGTCCATGACCAAGCATCAATTTAAAATTAGGTCTGGGCACAATACATACTACTGAAACAAACCACTTAGTTCCGAAAGACAACAAACAACAGTATGAATATTTTGTGTCCTTTCTTGCGCAAGCTCTTGTGCACACCACATAGCCACCCAGATCATCTCATCATTCATATCAAAGTCATCTTCCTATTTGTTGGCTGATACTTCGCCAAAGAGGCTGGGTAATTCAAACTTTCCCTGCTTCCTCAATTCTCCTCTCGGTTGCCTTGTAGTCTCTGTCCAAACCCTCCTCCAAGTCGATTTCCTTTTGTGACCTGCTTGACTCTAGACCCGCAACCGCAGTCTCGAACCGACGACCACGCTTCTCCGGTCCAAATGCCGTAGTTACCACGATACCCATCGCAATGATGGCTGTGGCAACACCCATGACAGGCCCGTATGCCGGAACTCGGTCACCAGACGGAGCCGTTATCATGGTTTTCTCGGCAATGGCGTTGACAATCTGGGCGGAAGGAGAAGAGATCATATTTCCTAGCTGGTATGTGATACCTTCTCACGTTAGTGAAGATCCTCACGATTGAGATGAGGTACGAACCTGGGAAGGATGACCGAAACGCGGGTGGAGAAAGTTCATTCAAATGAATAGGAATGACACCCCAGGCACCTTGAACAAAGAACTGCATGAAAAAGCCGGTGGTACTCAGAGCTCGCTCGCCCTGGGGGAGAATCCAGGCAGGAATAAGGACTCCAGAGAGGAGTGCGGAAACAATGATAGCTCGACGCCGTCCAACAAATTGCGACAAGTACCCAATTATTGTACCACCCACGCAAGCGCCAGTCTTCATTAGAATGGATGCACGAGAGGCTCCATCATTGCGCATTTCTTTCTGCGTCAACATGAACGTAGTATACGAGTCTTGCGAGGTGTGGGAGTAATAGTTGAACTATGAACGTCAGCAGCTTTTCTCTATTGAAGATCGCGAGAACATACCCAGGTCATCAAGATGATGCAGTAAACGCACATCTTCCACTCCCGCGCGAGCATCTGCTTCGTCTCACGCCAAAATGCGCCTGGATCAGCGGATTTCTTGCCGGCCCGCTTGGCTTCGAGGAATTGCTGGGATTCAGGGAAGAACATGCGGATGACTCCAACGCCGATTGAGAGGCCAGCTGCAAGTTTGTCAGTTTCCAGCTCGTGATATCTTGAGAGAGAATCTAGGCAACGAACCCGCAATCCAAAAGACTGTCTTCCAACTGTCTGTTGAACCGCCGACACCGAGATTTGCGCAGGCGGCAAATACGTACCCACACGAATAGCCTTGTTGCAGAATTCCGGACATAAGACCACGAGCATTGACACTATAATCGTCAGCGAACGGAGAGAAACCCCGGGATTAGCACTTACGGGCAATGTTCTAATGCCATCGCTATGGCATTGCCATAGACACCCCCCATAAAAAGTCCGAATAATGATCGAACAGCCAGGAACTGCTGAAACGTATGGCTGTAGATGGTGGCTATCTGTAGGATACCCAGCACAATCATGTTGATTACCATGGGCCATTTGCGCCCGAATCTATCACCAGCCAGACCGAAGAAAGCAGCACCGACGCTTCGTAGGAGCAGAGTCAGAGTGATAGCAGTGGAGATATCGGTCTTTGAGCGGCCATAGTACTTTGACAGCTTGACAGTCTGGATAGATAGAGCATGAAAATCAAATGCATCGGCCGTCCATGCCGCAAAGCCAACAATGAAAAAAAGCCAGTCCCGCGCACCAAGCTGCATACACAAACTGATAGGGTTCTGAATAGGTTCGGGTGATTGCCACTCAGTGTGAGTCTCGCCGGACTCGTTGGTCACGACGACACGTTGTCTCCATCGGAACAGATCGCCCCAGGCCTGCTTCGCGGTGGCGATGATGCCATCCGGAATAGGCTCCGCTGGCTCATTGTTTGACGTGCTCATATTCTCAAGTAAAGAGAGGATCTCTCGGCGGCCTTGCTCAATATTTCCCTTGGAATTGAACGAAGGTGACACTGCCAACAGAACCCCTTGCGTCTGTCTCGAGTATGGCTTTTATATGTATCTCACCATTTGACCACCGTCATTTTTGCTTCCCCATGGGGAGCCATCCTAAACCCCGCAGGGTCATGCCATGATACTGATAGTGATACGGTGATACCGATACCTTACTCCACCTACCCCAGGTTATCCCGGGCGATCTCCGCGAGAAACTTCCAATTTGTATCGAGCCAAGATGATGCCAAGCATCTAAACAAGACGTGGCTGCCAATGCGTCAGCATCAGTAGCAGCCACGCGACCCAAGGTTGGCTTGATGTTGTATCTTGCCTCTGGCCGGCGTCAACAGCGTGCTTTCATATCTCGCCCAGACACGCTAGCTACTCCAAAGTTCCCGTGTGAGCGTGGGGGCAGACAAAGAAGGATCGAACGAGACTGCCGGTTCGGAGAAATGGGAGCAAGGGCTACAGTAAGTAACCCGCAGCAAGCTCAGAAATCGCGCACTCGAATGCTCGTGCGAAGGATGACTATGGTATTATAGCCGAAAATCGCTGCAATCGAACGAGTTCCTCTACCGGCCGAGTTCTTGTATCTTGTACAGGAGGTTTACTCATCGAACCCCTCAGATAGGAAAGCCAGTTCAAAGTCAATCAAAATGTATACGAGCCGATAGCTTGTTTCGTATGGCACCATCACTGTCCGTATTCTATCCTGAATTACTGGCCGCTATTGCAATTCAGTAGAATCCTGTGGGCTGTTAGAGAGAATGACAACGGGATTGCCCCTCTCCCTTCCTCTCAGTTCCCCGAAGACCTTTTGATCAATTAAAGTTTGAAGGCCTGTTGATTTGAAGTCTCTGGAAACAAGCGTCGGCGAGATTCCGCTGCCATTCCACGGTGGAAACGCCGAGAGAGACATACAGACGTTCTTGGCATGATGGCTTCGGGGGCTGAAAGTCTTGGGGGCTCTTGTCCGGGAGGAGGCAAAAGGCTTGATCGAAAGAGTTAAATGTCATCTCGGGAAGAATCGGAGAGGAAGAGGCCTAAGACATTAGAAGGATTCTCAAAAGTGTGATAACTTGTTATGCCAAGAGAGCACAAGTAAGGTACAAGACAGGAGAGGAGAGAAAGAAATGCCTCAATTAGTCACCACCTGACAGTCAATCTGTGGCCTTGGGTCTTTCGATGAACATTCCTGTTCTGTGATCCAAGTCCTACGCCAGGTGGAAACCAATATTATATCTAGCCTATGGTTTCCAAAACTTCGCAAGTTGTAACCGAGTCCATGACCTCGCGAGTGGCTGGGCTGTCCTAATTCCCGTTGCGGGATTAATTTCGTCCATTTGGATTGCTGGGGATGGCCTCAGGTCACGACTATTAATACCTTGATATCAGTGATCTTCCTCATTTCGTATGAGAGTACTGCACACTTTGAAGCTATGACCAATGTTAATTCTGGGTGTCTGCTTCAACTGCTCTCAATGGTCATAAAATAACCTCAATCATGTGCATATATGAGGTATTTGTTAAGCCTCTCCGAGCCATTCCCAACGAGAGTGATGTCTTTCAAGGGCTCTATAATTCTCCACCATGTCTTGCTCTTCTATCGCTTTCCCAATCCCAAGAAGAGGTGATTGGAACTTTTGTTGCCGGAATAGCGTCTAGAGATTGTCCGGGGCATAGCAATCCGAATGCCCATCACTCGCCATGAAACCAAAGATCTATCTCCCTTCCGGCTTTACCACCACTATATATATATTGCTCTCTGGACCATACTGGCATCTTTAATCATCTATGCTATTGGAGGGGTAAATTATATTGATGCTCTGCTTCTAGCATCTGGCGCAGCCACGCAAAGCGGCTTAAACCCCATCGACTTGAATCGGCTTCATGTGCTTCAGCAGCTAATCTTGTGGATCGTTGCTATGGTCACCAATGTCATCTTTGTCAACTCGCTTCTTGTTTGCATCCGTCTGTATTGGTTTCGGAAGCGGCTTCGACGGGTAATCAACGAAGCAAAAGTCTTGTCTTTGATGCGGAAGAGGAAAAGTGAAGAGGAATTGGGACTCAATGATTCCAACAATCTGGCATCTGACACCCTACAAGAGCATGATAGCCAGGCACAACCTTTGCTTGAGCGAGACAGTGAAAACGGCCAGAAGCTGTTTCCCAGATACCAGGTCCTGGAACACACTGCCACAGGAGCGACGGACATCCACATTACTTTCCACGAGGCGGAACATCAAGCAAGACACCATCGACGATCATTTACTGGTACCGTGTCATACCAATTTGTATCCGAAAGTGGATGTTCGTTGGCAAAGTCTTGTCATAATGCAGGCCGCAGCACTTCCTACTTACCTTTGCTTATGTGGCAGCCATCCATTGCGAGTTGTTCCGACTGGGACGAAAGGCAAAAGGATCAGCTCGGTGGGACTGAGTACAGGGCATTGAAGACGCTGCGGATCATTCTGATGTGCTATTTTATACTCTTCCACATCCTAGGAATTCTGCTTCTGGGTTCCTGGATATGGCTGACCCCAGAGGTTGGCCAATCGGTCACAGTGAATGGGGTCAATAGTTTTTGGTGGGCCATATTCACTGCTGGTTCAGCTTTCAACGATCTGGGATACACACTGACGCCAGACTCGATGATTTCGTTTAAGAATGCTGCTTTCCCTTTGATTTTGATGTCTTTTCTGATCGTCATTGGGAATACCGGGTTCCCGTGCATGCTTCGCTTGATCATCTGGCTGCTCTCAAAGCTCACAACCTATGGTAGTTCCCTAAGTGAGGAGCTTCAATTCCTCCTGGATCATCCACGCCGATGCTTCACGCTTCTTTTTCCTAGTGGAGAATCATGGAGGCTCCTAGGGGTGCTGATCTTGCTCAATGGATTTGACTTCACGGTTTTCTGCACTCTCTCTGATGTAAGTGCAATTGGTTCAATCTATAGTGCAAGAAGCCTAATCTAACTCGCCTTCATGCAGAGATCTGAGTACCAAACGGACAGCCAGTCTCAGTCTACGTTGATTTGGCTCGTCAACGGCTTATTTCAGATTGCTTCAACGCGAACAGCCGGCTTCTCTGTCACACCACTTGCAGACATTCATCCAGCCATTCAAGTATCTTTCCTCGTGATGATGTACATTTCTGCCTTCCCAACCGCCATCGCCATGCGCGAAACGAATGTATACGAAGAAAGGAGTCTCGGAGTCTACGAGCATGACTCCGATTCAGAGCCAGAATCTAGGAACGGAAAGCATATCGGGCTAGCCGTGCACATCCAGCGACAACTTGGATTCGATCTCTGGTACGTCATGCTCGGACTCTTCCTCATTGCAATTGCGGAAGGAGGCCGTCTCCAGAAGGACGCCGACAACCCGGCATTCTCGCTCTTCTCTGTTCTCTTCGAGATTGTATCGGCGTACGGGACTGTCGGGCTTTCTCTGGGATATCCCGAGACGGAAACAAGCTTGTGTGCCCAATTCAATTGGGTGTCGAAGTTGGTCATTGTTGCGATGCAGTTGCGTGGAAGACATCGTGGACTCCCACACGCATTGGATCATGCGATTCTGCTGCCATGTGAATCGCATCAAGATGGCCAGGATGAACGATCGGGCTGGCTGGGCACTTGGCTCAAGAAGCGCGCGTCGAATTTAAGCAACCCACCAACGCTGAGGCAAGGTGGAGAGGACGAGGAGGGCGAGGAATATCTTTTGCACGCATAGACACATCTTGATCTCTCATAGACTCATGGTAGATTAGATAGAATAGAGACAAGTATGGAATAAATGACTTGCATCTACACATGGGCATAAAAATGATAGATATATACAGACATGCTATTGTAGGTCTGTCCACTGTTCCACTGTTCAAAGGCTGAGATGGCCGAGTGGTCATGATTTTCAGAGCGATCCCAAAGGTACCTCCTCATACAAAAATGGCTGGAACGGTACAAGATGGCCGAGTGGTTCAAATCGCGTAGGTTTTGGTCTCCAGATCACCAACATGGCCCATTGCTTCGAGCTCCCGTCTCTTTCTCTAGATGCTTTTTCTGACTCTCAGATATTGACCATGCTCTAAACTCCAGTTAAATTGTGCGGAGGCCAGATTATCCATTACCTTGGTCTTTTCATTTCTGGAAATACAATTCTCTCTGACATTGCTTTGAAATTCCATTTTCTGTGGAGCCCAGATCTGGTCCAGATCTGGTCTGACTCGAAGTTCTATACCTCGCATATCTCATAGTCAATAATGCTCAATAGTAAGAATTGAGAGATTGTGATGGATGACGTCAATTCATATGGATATGGTTGCTGAAAACAGTGATAATGAAGTCTTGTTGCTGTATAGGGCTGTACAGTATATTTCTTGTCTCGTCAAAGTACAAGTGCCCCATTATCACCGCTGACATGCATACTGGTATATTTACCACTTGAGCGATACCCTCCTCGAGGATCAAATATAGACAGTGTGTTGTTGATGGCTGATGATGCTGATCATGTGGAGGTCGTGGCGTTATGTCACTTTGGTAAGGCTCCGTTGGACGGAACAGTCCACCCCAAAATGGATCCGATCCATCATCATAGATAGATAGGCCTTACAGCCTTACAGCCTTAGGTTAACTAGGTACTATGTACTTTTCCAGTCTCCAAAGCTCAAGGCAACCACCCACGTAGCTCTTTCAATTTTTCTTTCCTTTTTCCCTACCTCTTGTACGTACTCCTTTTTTCCATCCCCGAACTTCAATTGCCTCGAGACCTTCCTGTCAGCCGGACTCATTTCCCGATCATCATCCCTGCCGCTGGCCGTTCTCTCTTTGAGTGATCCGTGGTCGCGTGAAGAGCTCTTGCTTCCCCACCCCGCACTGCGAGCTCTGAGGTAGCTTCTCAATTCGAACGATAAGATATTCTTGTTCCATTCTACTCCTTGGAAGTTTTCGCGAAAAAGTGTCCGAGTACCCCATCAATCTACGTCTACGAAGCTCACTTCATATTCAAAATGTTTGGAATCATCGCAGACTTGATGTCGTAAGTACTCCGACTCCGGTATTCCCGGGGAAAATGCGGGCACCATATCTCTGTGGTCGTCCCTCGATGCCTATCATTGAGTCGGAGCTAACGCTTTTCGATCGTCATATTTCAGCTCGGTGATCACGATCCTCTTCCCCGTATTTGCCTCTTATAAAGCTTTGCGCTCCTCTGATCCGTCACAGCTGGCGCCATGGTTGATGTACTGGGTGGTCCTCTCGGGCATTTTGCTGGCTGAATCATGGACGATTTTCATCCTGGGCTGGTACGAAAGGCACACCCAGATGAAATGGCACAACGAGAGCAAGGCTGATCTACTGTAGGGTCCCTTTCTACAGCTGGTTTCGGCTGTTTTTCTTTTCCTATCTGGTGCTTCCTCAGACGCAGGGCGCAAAAGTCCTGTACCAGGCCTATGTGGACCCCTTCCTGGAACACCACGAACGGGAGATTGAAGTGTTTATTGGCCGCTTCCATGAACAGGCCAAAGCTCTTGGGCTTCAATACTTCTATCAGGCCATCGATTACATCCGGGAGAAGGTTCTGGGATTGCCGGCTCAACACCCTGCCCCTCCGCCTCCGCCAACCGGCCCCGCTGGATATGCGCAGTCGCTCCTCTCTCGATTCAACATCCCTATCGCTGCTGGCGGAGCGCAACAAGCTCCTGCCAATGATTGGTACTCTGCGATCAGCTCTGCCGTGGCATCGATGACTTCCGCGGGTAAAAGCCATGAAGCGCGGGCTGAAGAGCTGTCTGCCAGCGGGAACCTCTTGCCGCGAGAACTCGCTGGAATGTCCCGTGCGGAAAAGGCTAGCTTCATTTCCAAGCAGCGCGACCTGATTGAGGTGTTGCGCGCCGCATTGGCCAAGGAAGAGAGTAATCTTGATAGCGGCGATGTGGACGACGACCTTGCATATGGCTCGTCTCTGAGAAAGAATCGCAGTGACAATTCGTTTGATCATATCAACCCAGAAGATATTCGTGATCGATCTCCGGCGAGACCGGAAAGATCGTCCGGGGGCAAATGGACGTCGGGATGGTTTGGCAGCGGAGAGCAGGCTGCTTCCTCTGGCGTGGAGGCTATTGCACACGCGACTGAAGACGTTGCGCGGTCAAGGGTATCCCACCATTAGATCTTTTATACTGGGCGATGGCTTCATTGGTTGTGGAGTATAGTCTCTAGATAGACTGGCCAGGGTATATATAGATTCGTAGGCACAAAAGCCAATGGACTGTGATCAATCCAGTAGAATGGACTTTTGTGGTGAATATGCCTTGCCGCAGTATCTTGCATTGTTTGATTGCCATGCTAAGCGCTGAAGTAACCGCGCCGCAGCAAACGACTTATAAATACCTCATCTTCATCAACCAAAACAGTCTTGTAACATTGACCTGCTCGTTAGATCAACCAGGACACCCAGGCGATAAAGCATGAGACTTGGATTCTTCGAACTCCTCCTCTTCTAGAACTCGTGTGTCATCAACATCCGCAAAGGACAGGACTGATGTACTGCAAAGCGCTTGAAAGGCTGCACCAGGTCGCAGCACATCTCGCTCCCAGCATCGACACCGTTTCCAACAAAACGGGGATCCTCGTTGAGCTTGCGAAGCAAAACATCGCGCTACCAACTGCTCATGAACTTCATGACCTTCCCAGGAAGATGACAACCTACATCGCGAACAATCGTCTCCAAGTCGTTTCGAGCTGCGTCCTCGCATTCCCTCAGGCAGTTATCTCACCAGTTCTGTATCTCGCAGGATTTGGGCCTATGGGTCCTTTCGCTCGTATGTACTCCTCGTCCCTGTCCTTTGGTCGGCTGCTGATGGTAGTCTTTTTGCTAGATTCCTTCGCGGCGTGGTATCAGGCGTCCTTTGGCAACCCGGTGGCAGGAGGGTTCTTTGCACACTTTCAGAGCGCGGCGATGGGTGGCTATGGGATGGGTGTTTTGAAGACGGCTCTTCGGGGGTAACGGGTGTGGCTACGGGTGTGCAGATGGTTTTGGATAAGGGGAATGGCCTGAATGGGACTTTGGCAGGATGAGGGGTTTTATACTGTGTAGGGGGGTGAATTGCTCAACTCTGTGTGTCTGGTCCGAGGGGAATGTCCAGGAATCGACAAGCGGTTGGCGATACATATCTTCTATCTAAAATTCTAAGGTATCAGATATCTTTCCCACAAGGAACAGAGGATAGATAGGTAGGTAGATCTGGTTTGGGTGGATCTACGAGGAGCTGGTTTCCGGACCAACCAGATAAATAATAAAGATGTGGAGGTATGTGGATGAGGTTATGTGCTCAGGTACTATGAGCACAGGACTTAGAAATAGTATGTCCTGTACCCGTTAGGAGTTGATGAGTATCAAGAGAATGATTTGAGCACAAAGTACTTTTCTAGAAAAGTCATGGTGAGGATGAAGATGATCCGCCATGCCAATCGCCATGCAAAATGCAAGGAAGGTTCGGGTGTGACCACCATGCGCGATGGCACTATTGACACATTTACCTGAATACAACATGTTCATTGCATATCATCGCGGAAGCTGTGGTTAATTGGGTCTTGCTCCTGAGTTTTATCGGTGGCCACTTTCTCGTTTAATTCATACTCCATAGATATCGGTATGGATATGTCGAGGACAGAGAGTGGTGGCAAATATGCCTCAGGTGTCAACCATTAAGGCGCTAATGATCTCATCTTGACTGCCTTGTTTCGTTTCATGACTGTAAGAAATGCGATGGAAAGTTGTCTTGCGGTGAGTCACTTGCTGATGTGTTGTGTCTATAGACAGCATGTCTCTGCCTGATGAAGAGTCGAACATCATCCAGATATCTGGATGGATACTCCATACCTTGAGTCCAAGTCCTAGGTAGACACCAAGAATGCTAGTCCATCGCTTGCCTGGGTATTATTGCTTTCCTGTACCTAGGTGTTTTCGCCGCCGCAACCCGAAGAATGAGAGAATCGGGAAGCGCCAAGTGTCCAATTAGGATGGCTCAGGGGCCAACTATATATAGGCTGACTAAGTCGGGACGCTAAACCTAAACGGGATGGAATCCTGACACCCCCCCTCGGACCGACTA